AGTGAGAGCAATAATTTTAGGGCCATCAATCACTGATAACACTAAACTGATGAGCGGTAAAAGCTTTTAAAGTGTCGCCTATGGCCAATTTTGGGTATGGTAGTTTTCTGCGATTTCGCGGGTGCGCGCAATTTTAAAGCTTGACATGTTTGGTGTCTATTTACCCGACGTGACCTGATCTTTTATATTTTACCAAAAAACTGGGTAATAATAAATGTTTCCTAACATAATGTTTAAAAAAAACCTTTTTTTTTTCAACATTTTCTGTAATTTTTCCTAATTATAGTAAAAAATAAAACCCCAGTGGTGAATAAATACCACCAATATAAAGCTCTATCTGTCCCCAAAAAAATGTTATAAAATTAATTTCAGTACAGCGCTGCATGACGGAATAAACGTCAGTCAAAGTACCGCAGCGCTGAATACTGAAAAATGCCCTGGCCAGGAAGGGGGTCTAAACACTCCGGTCTTCAAGCGGTTAATCTCCCAGAAGTCCCGGCTGATGATCCCAGCACTGTGCACAACGTGCATCAACTGTCATTGTGTGATGATTATATGCCCAGTAGAGTCTAATATGCTGTAAACAAAGCATTATCCTCATCAAATATTCACTCACTGCATTTCCATAGGCAAAACCAAATGCTGTCATAGGCAATCCATCCAGACTCTGCGCTGTCACTAACCATATGTCCCAGTTACACACCTATTATTTATGAGGAAGACTTTACTAGGAAAGTGCATTGCACCTGTATGCATGGAATCTGCTCAGGGCCCACAATAACCAGCTGAGAAGCCTCAGATCAAAGCTGCCCTCTGACAGTATACTAGATCCAGGATTGTGACATCACTCTCCGTGCGTCGGTTCCCGGATTGTGACATCACTTTCTGTGAACTAGGACTGTGACATCGCTCTCCATGAACTAGTTCTAGGACTGTGACATCACTCTCCATGAACTTGTTCTAGGACTGTAGCATCACTCTCTGTGAACTAGTTCTAGGACTGTGACATCACTCTCTGTGAACTTGTTCTAGGACTGTGACATAGTTACATAGTATTTGAGGTTGAATAAAGACATCACTCTCCATGAACTCTTTCTAGGACTGTGGCATCACTCTCCATGAACTAGTTCTAGGACTGTGACATCACTCTCTGTGAACTTGTTCTAGGACTGTGACATCACTCTCCATGAACTCTTTCTAGGACTGTGACATCACTCTCCATGAACTTGTTCTAGGACTGTGACATCACTCTCTGTGAACTAGTTCTAGAACTGTAGCATCACTCTCTGTGAACTAGTTCTAGGACTGTGACATCACTCTCCATGAACTAGTTCCTGGACTGTGACATCACTCTCTGTGAACTTGTTCTAGGACTGTGACATCACTCTCTGTGAACTTGTTCTAGGACTGTGACATCACTCTCCATGAACTAGTTCCAGGACTGTGGCATCACTCTCCATGAACTAGTTCCAGGACTGGGACCTCACTCTCCATGAACTAGTTCCAGGACTGGGACCTCACTCTCCATGAACTAGTTCCAGGACTGGGACATCACTCTCCATGAATTAGTTTCAGGACTGGGGCCTCACTCTCCATGAACTCTTTCTAGGACTGTGACATCACTCTCCATGAACTAGTTCCAGGACTGGGACATCACTCTCCATGAACTAGTTCCAGGACTGGGACATCACTCTCCATGAACTAGTTTCAGGACTGGGACATCACTCTCCATGAACTAGTTCCAGGACTGGGACCTCACTCTCCATGAACTCTTTCTAGGACTGTGACATCACTCTCCATGAACTAGTTCCAGGACTGTGACATCACTCTCCATGAACTAGTTCCAGGACTGGGACTTCACTCTCCATGAACTAGTTCCAGGACTGGGACATCACTCTCCGTGAAGCTGAATAAATTCCGCTTTACAGTCCTGCAGTTTATGGAATGGCTTTCATCTAAAGCTCCTCAGCCCAGTGTTGTACTTTGAGACCGATTCCATTTAAAGTCTTTGTTACTTGAAGGAAGGGGAGCCAAGTGCTGCAGGTATGAAGTGTAGACACCTAGCAGCACACATACTTGCAGCAGATTTCTGATCATGGCGGAATGCCAGGCCATTCTAAAAGTGGAAACAGAGCAGGGGACCCGAAGAAACGTTTTCAGCTAATAAAGCCGGTAGTGACATCTCGTGGGGTCTGTTCTTTGGTAGGACTTAGAGGATCTAAATCCAAGGACACAAATGGAACATGTTGCAGGTTTATGGTCCTTATATGTGACAACGGCTTTAGTTTTTCCCTTCACCTGATGATTTCACACTTCCTGTACTAGGGTGACAACGCTCTCTTGCTGTAGAGTGCCACCCCCTTTACTGCAAGGTTTAAGTGCTTGTTTTGTCTAGGGGGCTCAAATAAGGCAGATAAACTCCCCCTCACCTGATCCTTGGTCCCACGGGGGACAGTGCTCACCTCTCTCCCCCCTCTGCTCTGGTGGAGTATATAGTACGGTATGTAAGAAGCTGGATATAGAAGAGTGACAAAGGTCAGAGACGGTACAGGGCTATGGAGAAGGGTCTGGGTAGGTAGTGGAAATGTCTTTCTCTCCAGCGGTAGTTATATTATGAAGGAGTATTGAAGTTGGAGCCAAGTGTGTCTAGAAGAGTCTGGAGATGATTGTCTATCCATGGTTGCCAGGTTTTAAAGAACTTGGATAGTGAGTTGGTGAGAACTTCTTGATTGTCGTAAGATGACTGAATATAGTTAGGTGTGCCTGTAATTTTATGTAATCTGTTTTCCTAAACCCTTCATATTTTCATGAGTATGTATGTTCCTTCTCAGGTGATCAGCCAATCCAGAGCTCGATTCAACCCCAGCATCAGTATGATTAAGAAGTGCATTGAGGTCCTCATAGACAAGCAGTACATAGAGCGCAGCCAAGCCTCAGCAGATGAATACAGCTACGTGGCATGATGCCACCATCAGACTGGCTTGTGTGAGAGGACGTCCTCGCCATTGCAGTTTGCTGCTCTCCAGTTGGAAGAAGCAAGCCTTTGCCTCCATAATTGGTCACCTGGCAGTCTCCGTTTTTCTGCTGTTTACAACATCACCAGTGCCACCAGTGTCATGAGCGTCCGTGAAGATGCCTATAAATATTTCCAGCTCATGCCATTATAACATTTCTTACAGCTCTACTAAAAGGAATGAGTGAAGTATTTCTGGAATGTGGATTTTTTTTTTTATTTTAAAGATTTTTTTTTTTTGGTTGGGTCAAAATATTTTTTTCTCCCCTTCTTCACATTTGCATTTGATGTGTTCATTTTTTTAATGTATCTTAAAAGACTTAAAGTCAAAACTAAATATTGTAATATTACAAAAAAATAACCTAATAACTGTATCTACTTTAAAATGTACAAAAATGGCAAACATGATATTGCTGCTTGTCATATTAAAAAATAAAGAAATGTCCCGTGTATTGGCATCATTGGTGCATGAAGACATTGTGCAGTTTTAATGAATGTGAATATTGTTTCCCTTAAAGCCAACTCTGGGCATAATTAATATTACTCAGTTCTGTTCCACATTGCCTTGGGTGTGAAGCCATCGGCCATGGTCAGCACTGCCTCTGGTATATGTTTGGGTGGACATCCAACTCCCACTGAACTTCCGTGCCCGCTCTGGCTGTGGACCTCAGCGTTGTGGTCACAACACCATTCCCCTCTCCTCCTGGCCAATCACAAAGCAAACAGCCCAGGCTCCATTTAGTAATTGGCCAGGAGGAGAAGGGGGGATGGCGGTGCAGCCTCAGCGCTAACGTCTTTGTTTGTAAGCAATCTAGGTCTCAGACGGGCAAGGAAGTTCAGCGGGAGAAGATGGCAGTGTTGAATATGGCAATTGGCTTTATAGCAAAGGCAATGTTGAACGTACTGAACTCCAGTGAGATAACTGCCTGGTGCTGTGTAGTCTTAGGAAAGCTTTATTTGCTCCGTTATTTAGCTTTGCTTTCTCTTAAATCGTGCAGTCAGATTGCAATGGTTGTGACCGCGTTTACTCTGTCTTACCTACCGTGTTTCCTCAAAAATAAGACCTACCCCGAAAATAAGACCTAGTTGTGGCCGGTGATGGCATGAGGGGGAACTTGAAGAGCCGCAGGAGAGATTCAGCGGAGCCAGCATAAGCCGGAGGAAGCGAGGCGGCAGCAGAGGGAGCCGAGCCGCATAAGCCGATACTTTCTCTATAGCGCCGGCTCCTGTCACAGGCGGAGGGATGCCAAATGCACGCCACCTGTGAGGAATCATTCAGCGATTGGTTACTAAACTGATGAGAGCAAAAAGAAAGAGCTATTCTGTCAATAGGGCTATTAATGTTCTTCATTAAAATAAAAATAAGACCTACCCCAAAAATAAGACCTAGTGTGTTTTTTTGAGCCCCCCAAAAAATCTAAGACAGTGTCTAAATTTTGGGGAGACATGGTGGTACTTGTGTCAGGGGGTTCAGAGGTCACTCTCAGAAGCTGGGAAGTGGTGTATTGGGTCAGGTAGCTGATGGAACAGCAACTCAGGCATCTGGCGACTTCTGACACAAGAACTCCAGGCAAAGCTAAAGCTGGTCATACAATGGTAGAGTTTTGTTCAAATGGTCATATGAAGATTATTATCACTACATTGGATGATGTCATCAGAGACTTGTAGGATGCGGTTTGATATTTCGTTTTGGAAATGAATGGAGTTTCTGGAATGAAAAACACATTCACTGTTCGTTCATTGGAGAAAAATTGTACTTCCTGCTCCTTTTTTGATTTTTAAAGGGATGGAAAAAAAATGACTGCGGGTTTGACCCCAATAAAGGCCAAGTTGTTCTTTTAATATTATGTTTCCTGTTACACCCATATTCAGGGTGAAAGATGTTTACTTCGCCAGCCCCCCATCCTGCCCACCTTGTTACCTGAATTGTGGAGTGATTCTCTATTCAGGTGCCTAATATTGTTTATATCTGGCGTGGCTCCACCCACACCATTGCATCATCCATTCATAGATCCTTTGACCAGATCTGTGAATGGAGGGACCAGGAGTGCTGTCTGCCACCACGGCAGAGTGACTTGTAGTTTCATTAGAATACAAGTCTGTGACATCAGCGCACCCATAGTTCATTTATTCTTGCTCCCATGTATGCTATGCAATGTCTGTACCCAGGTACAGACATAGACGGGGGGAAGAGTCTGCAGGAGCCAGAGCATTGCACCCACAATCCACTGATCACGCTTGCAATGCTTTATTGGCTCAAATGCAAACAAAAATAGTAAGAGCACATTTCTTTCTTTCATCAAGAAGTATACGTTTATCATTTTATTTGCCAGCTGTAGACCTGAAGGCAGGCGGAATGTGATCTTTATATGAATACATCAAATGATCAGTTTTCCAATCACTTGCTCCGTTATATTTTTTATTTATTTATTATATATAGTTTTATTATATTTATTTATTATATATAGTTTTATTTTACTATTTGGTGAATTTCATATAATCGATCATTTTCTTACTCCCCCTTTACTCCTTGCAAGGCTGACAGGGAGTTACATGACTTTTTACTATCAAGTCACATGATAATCCTACAGGCATGATTGATTCCTCGAACCTGTCTGTGCAGCATCTGCCTCTGTTTTGTTAAGCTTCATCTGTGGTCTCTTTCATAGTAATGGCAGCACACGCCCTTCCCTCAGGAGAGCCGAGTCCCGACCTCACGGCTTTCCAGTTCTGATGTCATCGCTGGCAGACTCGCTCGGCAGGCATGAAGTTCTCACTACCTACCACCAACCTGCGAGAACAGAGGAGGAGGATGATGCATCCAGACAACACTTCCTCTAACCTAGCCACACTTCTCCTCACAAGCGTCCTCTAAATCCGCCGCCATCTTTACTGCAATACTATTCTGTGTATTGGATTTGGGGGAAATGTTCTGTAAAAGATGCTGGCTGTCTGAGTTTGCTTTCCCATAAGCCTCCCTGCCTTGTATTTCATACACAGCGGATTGTGAAAAAGTAAATTCTTTCCCAAAACGGACCACTAGCAGGTCATGTTTTCCAGATGGCAGGAAAGTGTATGCTGGGGAAATGGAAAAATCTACAATACATTATTATTATTATTATTATTATTATTATTATACAGGATTTATTTAGCGCCAATAGTTTGCACAGCGCTTTACAATATAAGGAAGACATTACAGTCACAATACAATACAATTTAAGACAAGATGGTAAGGAGGGCCCTGCCCATGAGGGCTTACAATCTAAAAGGGATGAATCATTTCCCTTGTTTTGTTTCTTTAAAAATGCTGCAAGTGCAGAAGGATACCTGATGATCCTGCCAGAAATTCAGCAAGTTACTGACTTCTGTAGGGAGCTGACAATACCGCCTCTGCTGCACTGAAATCCCAAACAGTGTTGTCTGCCCGTTCTGGAAAGCAGAACACCATCCATATGTAGAGGGGGAGTTGTTCTGTAGTCCATCATCGAATAATGAAGCAGGGCTGACAACACTGTTATACTGTATATACTACCGTATACTCCATGAATAGAGCTTACTGCAGGACACAAAGCTTGTCTGTACGGGTCTTCATATCAGTGGACCTAAACTGTACAGTACTGCTTGCCTGGTGGCCACAGTGGCAGTCCATGTTATCTTGTCAGCACAAGTTTCCTTTAATTTCAGGTGCTGCTGACAGATAATACATTCATGCGGTTTCTGCCCTCTGATTTCCCGCATGTGATTATCATAAATTAATGATGTCATTACACATTGATAAAAGCTGTACACGGTGTTCCTGGTATGACAATGAGTTACCTCAACATGTCAGCCTTCCCTGTGATGATTCCTTGGAAAATCTATGTGGTCTGTTCTGGTGGAGTTTGTATTGCCCCAACATTGCCAACATTTTACCATCATTTCTGCCACAGTTGTGTAACTAAAGCCAAAACTTTTCAGGTTGGATGGAGTGGGGAATGGTGAAAACCCTGGTCAGGTTTACGTCTTACCATTTGTGCCCCATTAGGGAGAAGAAATCTCTCCTGAGTTAGGGAAATGCCCTCTTACACGCTTGTCACTGGAAGTGTCCCCTTTGGAAGATTTCCCCTTTATTTCTGTTCTGGTGGAAACTCAAAGTTTTGGTTTCCTGATCACAGGTCACCAGATTCCAGAGAATAAAATAATAAGAAGACCCCAGTAATGAGCTAATAGTAAATAAGCCCAAACAAACTTTAATCGTTCATTAAAATAAATACAAAATATTCTTATGTCATATCTTTCTTTGGTATTTATGTCATAGCCGTGAGGAACAGGGAGTGTTTAAGACCCCAAAACCATTTGATGAACAAAGTTTGTTTGGACACATTAAAGAAGATCTCTGGCCAGAATAAAACGTAACCCTTGCCTTGGGGCTACCCCTGCAATACAAGGGTTAAAGGAGAACTACGGGGTCAGGGCTTTTCCCCATAGTTCTCCTAAGGGTCACGGGAGAACACAAACTAGCGTCCTCCCATGAACCAAAGCTCAGTATCCCGCGAGCTGTATACTGGGACGCCGCAGCCGGGTCGGATCCCAACAATACTGTCTGGATCCACTCAGCTGCGGGATTGACAGCTGGCTCTGCCTATCCAGAGGCAGAGCCAGCTGTGCCCGCCCCGTCCCTTTCGCCAGTCAGCGCTGGAGGATCGGACAGGGGAGGGGGGGAATCCCTGCAGAGAGCCGTGAGTGACAGTCACGGTTCTCTGCAGGGATAGAGCGAGAAGTGAGCAAGCGACGGTATGTGTTCGCTCACTTCCCGATCTACTGAGCCGACCTGTGACAGTTTTATTGTCACAGGTCGGCTCAGATTATGAGGCGGAGTGAAAATCACTCGCCTCATAATTCTCCTTTAAGTGCTCATTTTTGCCGAAGTTCTAAAAAACAAAGATATACTCACCCGAGCCTCTGCCTCCCCTAGTGGCTAGACTGGTCCCTGCTCCCTCTCCCCCCCTAAGTTTTATTCTGCTTTTGCTCAGGAGTGGGGAAGTTTGAAAAATGAATGCCTTGGATACATACAGGAGTTCGGGTGGCTGTAGAGCCTCCTGATCGCTTGTACGGTGCAGGAAGAGTGCTCTGCCTCTATCTTCCGCCGCTGCCGGTTATCCTGGGCCCCTCGGTTATCCTGGGCCCCTCTGTGCCGGACCGTCACCGTGGGTTTTAGTGGCTGGATTGGAGGGGATCGTTTTGGTCTAGGTTCTGAGCCTCTGCCCCACCTAGTGGCTAGACTGGTCCCTGCACCCTCTCTCCCCCTAATTCTTTTTCTGCCTTTTGTTCGGGAGCGGGAAAGTTTGAAAAATGAAAGCCTTGGATACATACAGGAGTTCGGGTGGCTATAGAACCGCCTGATTGCTTGCAAGAAGCGTGTGCCGCCTCTGTGTGC